AGCACAAGTATTGGAATCGGTATCAGGAGGGAAAAAATGGAATCGGAACATCTCTAGCAGTAAACCCTTGCATGGAGGGTAGAAAGTAGAGGCAGATTATATTTAGAATTTTCTCTTGATTTAGGACTATAAACTGGTTGTAGAAAAGGATTCTATATATGTCAGCATGTGCAAAGTTACTAAACATGGTCAAATTTAAAGATTGTCGGGTATACGACATAAGTAAGAAAAAGAACTTGCTCCATTATTTTTACAGATTGATGAGTATCAGCTGCTCATGATACACCACTGTCCTTTCCCCAGCATCAACACGCGTCAGCTTGACTCATCTCAGCTATTCTCCCTTGATAACTTCTACTGTCTGTGTGATGCGTCCGCTGTGTGCTGTGGGGATCAGTTAATGCCACACATTTTGAGATGTGGTCTATGTGTGTTGCAGATATAAGTCTTGTGTTCAAGAATATAGATTTATATAGATAAATATAAATATATATTGAGATATAGATATATTTCTTTTGTTTCACGATGACGATAAACAAAGTTGGCAGCACCGTTTTCTACGGGTGGGAATCTTTGGGAATCCCTGCTTCTGAGCTCAGTTACTCTGGCCGCTTGCCCAGGAACTACTACTACTTCTTCTTTGAGTACAGATACCCAGCCCTGATGGTGGCTGCAGTGTAGGAGGAGACAGTATCTACAGAGACTTGAGTGAGAAAAGGAACCTGTGTCAATGAATGTTGGAGGAACACAAATGATGCACTAATGCTCTGAAGGAAGCAGGTTGTGCAGTGTAACCCATGTTAAGCACACAAACGCACTGCGTGTATGAGCACTGAAACAGTCCCTGCTCCCCACCGTGCAACAAAAAATAATTTTTCATTATAAATAATTTTCACAGAAATGAACTGAAGCCAATGGCTGCCTGGAAAGGAAATGAATTCAGTTTCAAATCAGTTTAAAAGTGACCTCACGACTTTGAAAATGGTTTCCAGTGGAGTAACATAAAGGCAGTTTTTAGTTAATGAGCTAAATCTTTGTTATGCTCTTTTTAAAGAATCTCCATCACTCGAAACATGACTAGATTGTCTCCCAGCCACACTGAGACGGATTCATCTTTCTCTGTTGTTTTTAGTGAACTCAGTTCCTAATGAAAGACATTTGTTAGATAATGTGACTCTTCTTGTCTCTGTAATGACGGTGTCACACTTTAACAAAGAGTCTAATCTTGTCCTTCTGTTCTGTTTCTCATCCATCCTGTCTTCCTATCAACTTCTGTTCTTCCTCTCCATCTGTTTCTCATTGATTTCACCCTCGTCTGCCAACATCTCTTCTCTCATTTCTCCTCCCAAACACCCTCTCTGTACTTTGTTTTCTCCTCCATCATCTCTTCTCTCTCTCAGGTGAACAAGCAGCAGCTGCAGGCGGTGAAGGAACGTTTCCTGGCTTTTCTCAACGGGGAAACTCAGATTGTGGCTGATGAAGCTTTCTGCAATGCTGTGAGGAGCTACTATGAGGCAAGGCGATTTTATCTCTATCCTATTCTACTCTGTTCTCCTCTTGGAAAAGCAAAACCTTTTGTTGTTGTTTGTTTTGGCTTTACAAGTCCTGAGAGGGACCTTTGGAGGCAGAGTTTGGAGGATCAGGACTTCACTCTGGTTATGGAATGGGGATGTGCCTGTATAAAGTTTCAATGCTTTTTGATTGGTGTGGACAAAAAAAAAATATCATGGTAAATGGTACAATTTTTCATTCAAATTTCCTGAAAAACTACATATAATATGGAAGATTTAAAATGCCAAATTAAGACGACAGATCAGAAGTAAAATATGCGAGCTCCATCTAGCTGTACGCGGAAGAATCTCTGAAATATTATTATATCAGAATATTACAAAATGATAACATCACTGAAAAGTAATTTTAAAATGTTGTCTCACTGTTAACCTGCTACGTAGTCATGTTCATGCATATAGCGCGTGCATACATCCATGCTTAGTTAAGAGCTACAATGTGATAGTTCAAAAACACTGCAATTCTGGCTCCAACTGAACAAGGAGTACCCCTTTTCCACTAAATTAGCACTGGTTCTTGAAGTGGTTCTGTTCAGGATTCAACAACAGTCACCACTCAGTAACCATCCCCCCTCCCCCCTCCGGTATGCAGAGCCAATACATGACGTGTTCTCCCTGTCAAAATGGAAATCAACTGTCCAATCACAGCATGGAATATTGTATTTCACTTGTTTTCATTTAGGCATTTTAAATCTTTCCTACTATTAGAACCGAAACCCAGTAAAATACAGTACATTGCAGTTGTAGTGTGCAAAAGCATATAAACTGAAATAAACTTTAACAACATAAACACAAGCACGTTGGTTGGTAGAAGTTAAGGGCACTTGACTGGTAATTAGGTTTGACATGCTGTTTTCTTTTGGGTATTAATTGAAAAGGTGTTAATAAATCTGCTCAAAACGCAAGAAAGAGTGATCGAACCAGTGGAGTTACACTGGGCCTGTACAAGCCTCCATCAGAGCGCTTTACAACCCTTGTCATATTCACCACTTGTTACTTGATACATTGATGGCAGAGGTTGCCATCTAAGGTGCCAACAGCTCATCAGGGGGATACCAACATCCAAAGCACTCATGGTGATACTAAGCTCATACACAGCGACCCTCCGATTACTAGGCAACCCGCTCTTCTGCCTGAGCCACAGCTTCTGCAGTGGCTGCTTATTCTGTATGGAGGTCTGAGTCACGTATGAGCAAAAAACTAAAACCCTCTTTAGCATTTATAAACTGCAGTCACTCTCTAGTTGTTTTTTGGTTGGTTGGGTTCCACACAGCAAGTTAATTACAAAATACGAATATTCCTCAAAAAAACCCTCTATGTTCTTTGGTTTCAAACGCTCCTGTGTTGAGTTCTGGGTCTAGTCTGGGGGTCTGCAGTGCCAGTGGTCCACCTCCACACCTCTGATGACAGAGTGGTTGTTGAGCTCTTATGACACAAAATAATTACGTTTATCGCCGGCATCAGACTGAAACGGATTAGAAAATCGATCTAGCAGCTGTATTCTGTTTGTGAGGGAGTTTTTCTTAGTTAAGGAACGTGGTGGCACCAATCTCTCCTCAAACTAAAGCTTTTTTCATTTCCAGCCCCTCTGCCCCCTCTGCCCCCCTGCCATTTCATTGACACTTCTTTTGGAATTGTTCCTAAAACTGGTTCAGTATTTGGATGGAAACCTGTCCTCTGACTCCTCCATAGACACTGTGACAAACCCTCCCACGTCGACTCATGTTTGCAGCTCCACTGTTGGAGGAGGACAGCTGTGAGCAGAGATTGCAGTGAATTTCCTCACCCCCCCCCCCC